AACTTACCAAGGTCTACATAGCTAATAAGCAGTAATGTCAGAATTTGAACTCAGGTTCTAGAACAAAACTTTACTGTAAGTTTTAATTTATATCACAGCATTTTATTATAGTCATAACTCCTGAGAAGACTGGCTGGTATCCCTAATCTCTGAACAATGAACCAAAACCATTATTTTCCTTGGATGATGGTTTGCAAGAGACATTGAGAAATCTCTTTTTTCAGGCCTCAAATGGTTCTTAAGCTTTTACATGATAATCCTTTCTTCATCTGGGAAAAAAAAAATGAGTTGATAAACTATCACTGTGAGATCAAAGTTTGGGCTATTCCATTTATCCATAAGGGTAATTAATAGAATTACAAGGAGAAAAAACAATTTTTGCACGTGTCCTACTTTTTATGGGACGTGGAGAAAATCAGTGTCTTAGTGCTCCATATTAAAAGCAAAGGTTGTAGTTGGATGCCATTGCTGTCAATGTTCTTGGGTATAAAAGAGGAAATGGCCTCAGGAAATCTGTCCCCAAGTTGTGTCCACAGAACTTGACTGTGAACTGACTACTGTTTGTATCTCTTAAGATGCTGAGGGTGGTCTCAGACAGTGGGGAGGGCAGGAAAAGCCTTTATCATTTAAGATTTTGAAACAATTGAAAGGACCAAGCAATTCAGCAGCAGAAAGATGAGAAACTAATATAATTAATATCATATTATTAATTAGTATTATTCTGTGTAAAAAATCAAAGGGAGTTTGTTAAAAATTCTCTTAAATGAAGTCTCTTGACGTTCTGAATTATTGGTATACTGATTTATAAAAAGATTCTATTTAAAATTGTTAGCCAAGGACAAATAAATGGTCCCCTGATATTTGGAGGATCTCCTAAAATATCTTCAACAGTCCTTGGACAGTTGATGAAACACTCTGCCTCTCTTTAACTTTGACCCAGTAATTGGTCTATTGGTGAATGACACCCTTTCACCAAATAGACGTTATATCATCCATAGGGTGCAGATGACCTTGAGGAAGTGTAAATTTTAATAAGCATCATTGACTAAGTGCCCTTGGCCACAAAACTTAAAATTGTTCTTTTCCTCATGGGCATCAGACAGGATCTTGAGGTGTCCATCTGTAAAGCTTTGTGAATGTATGTGTAATTGAATTTATGATTTAATCTCAGTTCTTTGCGTAAATACAGTCTCTGGTGATCACTGTGGTTGTTCTACATACAAATGACTCAATGAAGCAAAACTGTTTCAGCTTCCCTTGTCTCAGACAGGTAGTACCTTGACCCAGCAGTTGCTTAATAAATGTCAGTTTATTCCCTCAGCCTTGCCTGAATTCAGATGATGGATAGTGAAATCTCACCTGAGCTATTAAAAACAACAACAACAACAACTTTTTTTCATGTTGAAAATCAAATATCCAAATCTGAAATCTAAGGTCTTGTTCTCTGCAAGAATAACAAAGTCTAGAAAAAAAAAGTCAATGGCTTTGGATGGAAATTTTAGTGAGCAACTTCTGGTCACACTTTTCAAGCAGAGCTTTCACTAAAAACGTCCCTCAATTGTGACCAAGAGACCACATATGAGGGGTTAGTGTATTTTGTTTGTTTATGGATTTTGGTAACTTCCATAGTCCTTTCCTCCTTGCGAATGCCTATTCTTCAGCTGTAAAACAACTTAGAGTCATCTTGAAAGCAAAGAGACAGGTTCACCATTTGGATGTGCCAAAGGGGTATTTTTGGGGTACTGGGGGGACAAAAGCACTTTAGTTACACTGTGTGATGAAAAAGTGCTTCTTATTAGAAGTTTCCTTGTGATTGAATGCAGCTGGGACCCATGTGAGCAAGGCTTATGCCCCAATAGTAGATCAGAATGTGCTAGGTTAGACCAGGCAAAGGCAGCTTTCCTTATTGATTCAACAGCTTAAGAGAGGATACTGTCTTTGATTAAGAGAGAAAGGGAGGGAAGCTTCAATGGCAGTGATACATTAATGTAGAGCCAGGTCAAAACTGAGTCCTTGTGACCTTAACTGCTGTCACTCAGTGACAGGGTAGAACTACCCTGAGAGCTAAAAGGCTGGAATATTTCTTTCCCTTGCAGAATAATCCAGCTTAAAAATGCTGAGTGTGTATCCCTCTGAAGCTTTCTGACAGCTTGCCTCCCTCAAGGGGAAAACTAAATCGGATTTAGTCCTTGTTCTCTTTTTGCAAATAAATTTCTTCTTGTTGCTAGGCTACAAGATAACTTGTAAATCGAGGAACATAGGACAGTGTCTCTTCCTCTGTGGATCTCTATGTATCCTTCCTGCTATGGTCTGAATGTGTCCCCCCAGATTCATATGTTGAAATCCTGACCCTCAAAAATGATGGAATGAAGAGGTGAGGCACTGGGGAGGTGTTTAAGTCATGAGAATGGAGCCCTTAAGAATGGGATTGTGCCCTTATAAAAGAAGGTCCTGTGAGACCCATGCCCCTTCCACCATGTGAGGACACAGCATAAAATCTGTGACCTAGAAGAGAGCCCTCATTCGACCATGATCTTGACTTCCAGCCTCCAGAACTGTGAGAAATAAATTTCTGTTATTTATAAAGTACCCAGTCTGTGGTGTTTCATTATAGTAGCCTGAACAAAGATACCTCCTCACCTCCCTTCTTTCCTCCTTCTCTCTTTTCCTCCTCTGATAGAATCCATCTCTCTTAGATTTCAGTAGTGTATTTGTTCATTTATTAAAAACATGTTTTCTCAGTGCCTACTATCTCTACTATGTACCTACTATGTGCCAGGTACTGTTTTAGGTTCTGAGGATATAATGACAAACAAAAGAGACCAATTGTCTACACTCAAGGAGGGTAGAACTTCTAGAACTCCCTGAAGTTTGTCTGAACACTGACTCTTTCATCAGTAGCTTTATAAATTTGTGGCAAGTTATTTAACTGAGCTATACCTCATTTTCTTCATCATACAATGGGGATAATATTAGCTCTTATCTCAGTTGACCTTTATAAGGATAAAATGAAATACTCTATGTAAAGCACTTAGGAACAGAGTGTGCAGTTATGAGCTAGTACAGTTGCGAGATTAGCATAGAATTATTTCAGGGAAATGCAATATCCAAGCACACGCAAGTCACTCTAGGGTCCTGCCAGGAAATGTGGGAACCAGCACCCTTTATATTCAAAGGTATGTGAACAGAGACAAGTCAAAATGAGATTAAAGGATACTTTGTGAATACACTGATTGTTTGCACAGTGGCGAAGTCAGCTCTATGGCTTTTTCAAAGGGTAGCCTCTACCTCTTTTATATTTATAATGTGCATCTTAGTAGTAGTAGAATCTTCTCTACTCTACTCACCCATTTCCCAATACTTTAAAACTTTTTGATACTGGTGAAAGAGGTAAATCATTTCAGATATGTTTTTCAGACATACTCAGTTCTACTTTGGCAGTGTCTCTCTGTCCTATATGCCTTGCAGGTAATTTTCCTGGTTTCTGACAAGTGTTGTGATGAATTACTATCTGTGGGTAACGTGTTTCTTTACAGTACTGATTTTAGGAGAAATCAAGCTTTCAGAAAGTTGGAAAGCCATACATTTAATGTCATTTGTCCTGAAAACAACACTTGTCCAAAGAAGAAAGAATCACCACACTTTATACCTTCATTAAATCAATGTCATATTTCTTAAAATTAAAAAAATGTTTAAAAATCATCTTTTTTTTAACATAGAGGAAAAGAAAAATCCTAACTTTTTACATTACTCTTTTTTTTTTATAAACCTCTGGGTATAGTTTACTTCTAAAACAAGTAAGTTTTTATTTGTTTATTTATTATTATTGTTAATGTTAAACTGCATTTACTGCATAAGTAATACATATTTTGGTGAAATAATACTGTTATACAAAGAAATGTTCCCTTTCTTTTAACCCTTAGTTTTTTGTCTCTAAATAAATACTCTTCACAAGTCAAGGTAGTCCTCTCAAACCTTGAGTGACAACTTCATTTTCAGTAATCTGGATGTGAAATGTTGACAAAGGTGTTTTTAGAGTTTATTTTGGTTACAGTTGCTGTTTTCCTTTTTTTCACATGCACAAGTACCTCTTACAAGAAGGTTCTAGCCTGGCTGTGTCATAAACCAAGTGTGTGATTTTGAGCAAATAATTTAGCTTCTGTGGGTTTTGTTCTCTTCATGAGTAAGGTGAAGGGCTTAACTTTCTGATCTCTAAGGTTTTTTGTCATCTCTAAATGTCCCTGGATCTATTAAAATCCATTTTTTCCCCATGGGAGATATAGTATCTGAGATTTGATAATAAAAGTACTGCAGCTTATTCCGTAAGCAAGGTGGAAATCAGTTTCATTACTCTGGGTAAGTAATTAAAAAGACTTGAACAACAAAATGCACTTGACACTAAAACCATATTGATTCTAACTTAACTCTCCTTTGGTGCCTCGGGAGACACTCCAGGCTATCGGAAGGCTTCAGGCTGCTCTGGGAGCACTGTCCCCATTGGTGCAAATGCAATATTAGACTGGAGTGCCCTGGGATACTTTAGGTTTTAATTTTCCAAATAAATACCAGTATCAACACATTTACTTATCATCTGCTCCTGTCTCATCCAGTACAGAACAGGAAGAACAAAACAAAGATATTCAAGCATTCTGATTGTCATAATTTCAGATTAAGTAATCTTTACTTTTGTGGCTTCTATATACGAGTGATTAATTAATGGATATAAAGACAAGAAAAGATATTGAAGACACTGAACTGTGGATCTGAGTGTACTCAATTGGAGATAGAGGGAATGATACCTAGATGGGCACTGAAGAAATTGTTTTATGTGACAGCTGAGGGTACCTAGGTCCCTTGTAATCAGATTTTGCCATTAGACATTTTATTTTATAAAAAAGTTGCCTAACACTTTTTTTGGGTTTTTTTGGACAGACTCTCATTCTACAACCTCCTCCCCTCAGTATGAGATAACCACTGAGAATATATTGTCAGTTCCTTACCTTGAAGAAGGTCATTGTTGATCCATCTCTGACTGCCCCATATTCTATCTTGGTTTGTTTTGCCAGGTCATCTGCTGAATCAATGGGGGATTCCATTCGCTCTACTGTCAAGAAGGCAGCCAGATTGGCAGTGTAGGATGAAATGATGATTAGTGTGAAAAACCACCATATCCCTCCAACTATTCTGGTTGATAGAGCTTTGGGCATCAACTCTGATCCTGTGATGGTATCGTCAGAGTAAGAGAGTTAAACAGTTAGGAGAGAAGGGAAGACCCATGATTTGACACTAGCCTAGAGAGATAATGCATTTTTGTGACACAAAACTATAAATCTATCAAGGTTTTACTCTCTTGCGTGTAGGTGAATAGATGCATTTTTTTAGAAAATGAAACAAATTCTAAATGATCTTTTATCAATGCTGCTGTTTAAAATGTGATTTATTGACATTTGAAGGCATTAAATGGTTTTAACCCTAAGATATTCTATGTTTAAAATTTATAGATCATTTAGTTGCTTAGATTTGAGTTTGTTTGCTTGTTTCTGCTGAAAAGTCAATCCCAGACTTCTGGACTTTTCTTACTGTCTGATATGCATCTTATTGTGTGAAATAAAATGTTCTAGGTTGTACAGCTGTGAAAGCTTTGAAAAGCTAACTTATTTTTATTTAATCTTAAAGAATGAGAGAGACTTTCAAAAGATTAACATATCATATCATTTATCACATGTACTTTAATAAAACACTGGAGTTTCACAAATCAAATGAAATTGGATACAGCCATATTTGACAGTAGCTGAATCATTTTTTATTACTTTATGTTACTTTTGAAGTCAAAATTATTTTTTTAAAGTAGATTCTTATTTAACTGAAAATAATATATTCACTGAAAAGACACAATTTTGTCCTCAAATAAAGTACTATTTTTTAATTATACTTCAAAGACTGGCTGTTTTGCAGGTGGAAAGGGGACTTTTCTGCTAAGAACATACATTTTAGATGTTATCAGATGATTCCTGATTATTTGTAAAAAGGTAATATAGAGGCATTTAATGTATTTACCAAAAAACCCTTTCTCTCTTAAAGAAACGGTACATGTGTGAAGTTTACCTACACAAATGACAAACATCTGTGAAAACTCTCTAGCTCAAAACTTTTGATCAAACTTATGGAAGGCCATAAATCCAACAGTAGAATCAAAAGGGACAGAAGGGTATATGCAGCACTTACCCCAATTTTATCAATTCATGGATGGATTTTTGGTTAATCTGCTTGCTTGAAATTCACCATTGGTTCTGTACTTAGCATTTCCTCCATGAAGTCGGAGGAATGTTAGAGTTTATGGGACCAGTTAAAAAGTGAAAGGGAAAAACCCTAAGTTAAAAAATCCAAAGTATGAAGTTCA